CAACCTAGACACAATTTCCTATTTAACAGAATTGCTCCTATTTGGAATATGTTAATTGAAGATATAATATTTTTAGAATCATTAAATGTTTTCAAGGCTAAGGTTGATCAATGACTTTAGAATTATTGAAACTTGATAAGAGACAACAATGCTGTCTCAGTCAAAAATCAGTCACAGCTTATCACTACTACTAAATTACTACTATTATAATTATCTAACCTGTCAGTTTCTCAACCTTATTATTATTAGTTTCTTAACCTTTTCTAGTTTTTAGGTAGCCAGCTCCAACTTTGTACTAGGATTTTTTCTAATTCAATATACTTTAATAAATTTTTCTTTTAATAAATGGTACATAATCTTTCTTTTTCTTATTTTTGAGAATAAAATACTGATATACAGTAAAAAATATATAATTTTGTAAAGTAAAATAATTAATTTTTATAATAGATTAATTTTTTCCATATTTCATTCAAATTTAGGTAACATTTTTTTGCCCATTTTTACACATTGACTGACTTGATAATTTTTTAAATAAAAACTTATTTTTGTTTAAATATTACTTCTTTACTTGTTGAAGTGATGAAAATATATACTATTGTAATTGTTAAGAAAACTATACTTTTATTAGTAGTATATATATATATATATATATATATATATATATATATATATATATATATATATATATATATATATATATATATATATATATATATATACATACATATATATATATACATATATATATATATATATATATATATATATATATATATACATATACATATATATATATATATATATATATATATATATATATATATATATATATATATATATATATATATATATATATATATATATATATATATATATATATATATATATATATATATCTGTGTGTGTGAGTATATATATATATATATGTATATATATATGTATGTATAATATATATATATATATATATATATATATATATATATATATATATATATATATATATATATATATATATATATATATATATAAAGTGGCGAAAGTAATAATATTTTTTTCCAAAAAAAGTAAAAAAAAAAGTTCAAAAATGCCATGAGAGTTATTTTTGTAGCATGACCTATCTTATTTTAGATTATGTTTAGTTTTTTTGGTAAAAATGAATTTTTCTATGTACTTTAAATATAAAACATTATTATAGTTGTACATTTTTTATTCAAAGAAAGACTATTTGAAGGTTTTTATTCAAGACTTTATCTCTGTTGTTTTAAATTTTAAACAATGATAAGCAACAACCATTAAATTTGCTTCTCCGTCTTCTTTTTGTTTTTGAAAGTTTTAATGAAGTCTTGATTAAAATTAACGTTTTGTACTGTAATATAAAACTAGAAGAACAGTGACTGTTGTTTAATAGAAATTTTGTACTAAGTGCAGCCAAACCTATTCTAAATCGTAATTTAGTTGGAGCTAAATTTTTCTTAATACTTTTTGAATAAAAATAAGAACCATATCAGACTTTATAAATTTTCTAAAATGATGGAGATTCTGTCATTTTATTATCTCCATTATTGCAAGTATCTAAACATTTTATTGTCTTCTCAAATTTTTCACTAATCAACCTTTGTTTGTTTTACAATTGACTCTTATAACCTTTAAATATTTTTCATACTTCGCTTTTTATTTTGCTAAATTTTTTTTTGCGCAACATTTTTTGACCATGCGATCCTTTCTCATCATTGAGAAAATTTCCATATACTTGTCTACTTTTAAAAACTTTTGTTTTATTCTTTAATATGATACCTTCACAGTTTTTTTAATTTTCATCAAATACATCCTCTTTTTCAAAAAATTATATTTTCGACTAAATAGTTTTGCTTGTTTAAGTTCTTTCTATTCCTTTTTAAGTCAACAATCTTGTCTCTAAATCACAAACTAAAAGTAAAAGAATTCATTAAAGATAATGTAACTATTTTATATATTATAATTTATATATTGATATTTTTATCATGAAATTATAATTCTATTTAAGTCAATTTAAATTTGGACTGACTTGTAAATTTATAAGCATTTTACTATAATATAGCAAAAATTTGATATGTTAGTCAGTATTTTCTTCACCACATCTTCTTCAGGACGCATGGTAAATTTTTTTGCCATAAAACAACCTCCTATTTCAATACATTAGACCGTAAAAAAATAGTCATGAAGGTACATTAGTTGTAAAAATGTTTGGAAAATTAACACATAGCATAACCTCTGTAATATAGCTTTCTTAATAAGCAATTGTGTTATGGGTTATAAATTTTAATTCTTTTTTCGACATGAAAAATTTCGTAATAAGATTATTTACACACAAAAAAATTAATTTCACAAAATTCTTTTTTGTCTTCTCCACCTCCAACTTCCCATAAACATACATCATGAATTCAAATGGTTAGGTCCATTACCATCATCTTTACTTAAAAAACAAAACATAATGTAAAATTATACCTCTAATATATATATACCCCTTATATGAAAACCCCTAATATATATATTAGGTATATGATAAATTTTAAATCAATTAGCCTGGGGTTCTAAATGATGAACTTTTGCCTATAAATCATAGAAATGACATTGATTTCACCATGCCTTGAAAAAACTTCCCGCGCCTAAGACAGTTTCATATTTAACCATACAACACATAGCAGCCCAAAGGCTATTAATTATAATATGTCAATTTTATATACAATACACATAAGAAATACACTGTCCTACAGCATTTGTAGTGATGTTAATAATCTTTCAGATTTGTGTATTAGTATTAATAAATTTACAGTTAAGATATTTGTCTGTTCTGCAAGAAGAACGAATTTCCCCCATCAACTTTACAGCTCTCTCGGCTACTATGTTGATTTGAGGCACATCAAGCACTGATGGTTTCTTCTTCCAATGGGTAGAGAAGCATTTCACAGCTTTGGAACACTTAAGTTGGGATATTGCTGACAGCAGGTCTTCATAAGCCGCCTCTGCATAGTGCTGGTTTGAAAACCAGGCCCGCGGCCATGTAGTTGCAACGAAATCGCGAGTTATCCTCAGCTGTTCTCGCCAGTTTGGAAGAATGAAAAATGTAATAAGCGCAAAAATGCCTCTTGAGTTCCACCTGGCACTGTGCAGTGATGGCAGCTTGTGCCATTTGATACGAGGCCATTTTTCCTCATTTTTGTAAAACTTGTATGCTTCACAAAGCTGAAAAAGAAATTTAAAGTCATCTCTCCAGCCAAGGTTCTCATACTCTGCTACCGCTGCTGTGCCCTTGTAGGCATTTTTTAAATCATCGTAATGCTCCATAATCTCATCAATAAATTTGTAGTTAATGTTAGGCGACTGTGACTGTATAGGAAAAAAGAAATCCAACACATGTCGTAGAACAAGATCAAGAATGTGGTGTTGGCAGCCGATGTATTGAGGTTCATCGAATCCCTTGTCTCGAAATGTTTTCTGAAGCTTAGCAACAACTCCATTCTTGCGGCCAGTATTTACAGCTGTTGTGTCAGAGATGATCATCTGAATACTGTTCTATGCATTGTAATCACCAAGTAGGTCCTGTAGTGGTTTAAATATGCTTGCAGATGATCCACTGTCACAAACCAAAATGCCAAGTTGTAATGTTCTTTTGTCATTTTTCAAGCACACAACTTGGTACTCAGTCTTGTCAATTTTCTTACCATCAAAATGCAAAGAAAATTTCTCTTCAGAGATCAGTTCCATGAAGCGGTTCTTAACTTGTTCTGCATCTCTGATTGTTCGACGCCAGACTCCAGACTGTGATCAGCCAGACTTTGAAGCACCCGTGACGTTTTTATGGTTGACAAAGAGTGACTAGACACTCTTTGTCAACCAGAAAAACGTCACGGGTGATTTGACTGGCGTGTTGCACGCTTTCTGCGAGATTCTCCTGGAACTGCCTCCGAGTCACCACTGCTGCTTCCTTCCTCAGAATCCTCACTATCGCAGGAAAGTGGTACGGAGATAACCGCTTGGTTTGTTGAGGATTCTGATGTGCTTTTGGCCCTTTTTGATGGATGGATTGTTGACATAGGAGACACTTTCATAGTTGTATATCCCACCCTGCCATCTGATTCAATTTATACTTTGTACAGTTGTTTGTCCTCACTACAAAGCTAATTTCAATCTGGTTTTGTTATATCGAACAGATGAGCAAGATTTTCTTAAAATACTGCATTTCGTCGCTTTCTGTGTTTCTCAAATTATGTGATAAGTTTGTAAATATTAGCAGACACTTGTTGTTTGGAAAGAACAGGAAAATTAAACTTCAATTCCTCGGGTATTTTTGTTAGTCGATCAAGTCGTCCTTTCAATTCATTAAAGAGTCCCAACAATCATCCAACGATATCTCTGTTGGAAGGTATTTTACACAATTTGTCGCTCATATCCTGTTTTACCTGTGGTATATTAGGACGGCGCTTCGAGCTTGATTTCAAATTTTGTGTCCATATTTCACCAGCTGCTTCCACTGCTTATTTTGACTTTTTACTTTTAAAGGACATACAAGAAGCACTAAACAGCAGATTTTGCAAATTAATACTGCAAATAATGAAAAAACTTTTTAAATACTTCTACTGAATATTTTAATCACGCGAACATTAAAAAATACTCAACAACAAACAACAACAAACGCGCATTAATTTGAAAAACAGTCGTTAAAATTTGTTATTCAAAATTGAGTTACATAACAATTTAAAACTATCGAACTTTTTCATTCTATGTTAATTAACTTTTTAAATTGTTTGACGCTCTCCAACTTGTAGTTATATTCAAGCATAGTCAAGCATAATATCTGTGTGTGTGTGTGTGTGTGTGTCTATATATATATATATATATATATATATATATATATATATATATATATATATATATATATATATATATATATATATATATATATATATATATATATATATATATATATATATGCATAAGTTCAAGATTACAAATTTTTATAG